ATGCTGTGGTGACTGGACTCACAGGCAGACAGACCGATACTAGGAAATGCAGTAACAGGTAATTAAATCTTTTGTCTCGTGAGATGAGTTAGTCAAGATGTCCACCCTCAAATAATGACAGGCACAATAATAAAGAACAAGATGGGGTGTTAATGAAACAGTGTCTAATTAATCCATCACAGTGAGCCATGTCTTGGGAGATCCAGTTCAGCAACTTCTGAATCACACGAAGACATGAAATCCAGGAGTGCAATAGTTTCCTAAGATGGTTTTCTCTGTGCACAAAGGTTCAAAGTCCCAGACGGGGAAAAATCAAAGAGCACCCATGCAGATGTGAGGCGAGGATCCCAGCGAGCATTTCACGGCCCGAGCTGAGGTTCTCTGCAGTGGTCTTCACTTCTAAAAAAACCTGATCCCTTTTTTCAGACTGAAGCGATGCAGCTTCAAGACCCCTTCGAGGTAATGAGACACTCATCTCAATGACAAACCCGAGAAAGTTGCCAGCTACAGACCTCCATGCAGAGCAGCTAAAGTACTGCTAGCATACTGCTAAGGTAGGGGCTGCATGCCTCCCAGGGCATCTTTTGGGGACTTAATTACCTGATCTGCATTTGCAAGGCCGCTGATGGGCTGATAGCAGCATAGCATCTACCCAAGCTGTGAGGGAGCCTGAGTAGCATTTTCTGTCTAGGAAGGATGGGCTCAGGCCAGCATTTTTCCCACTTGTCGCGTTACCTTCCCTGGAATTAGTGATTCAACTTCAGTATTGACGGGGAGCCGAGCCAGGCTCCACCAGGCGAGAGCTGAGGAGCTGCTGAGCTCCACGTTCCCTACAAAGCCACCTTTCTCAATGCACGTTTCTCCCGTCGTTTCCCAAATGTTTCAGTAAGGCCGGTTTCACTGCGTATGGCATTTGCCTCTAAAAATAGGCTTTGTGCAATTCACATGGAAGGGGAAAGCAATTACACCTCTACTATGGGAAAAACATTCACTCCCTTTCCACGGGCTGACTTCAGAGCCTCTTCGATGATAATTACCGTCATTTTTCTGCTGAGGTTGCTGACATGGAGGTGAAGCGACCTCCCCGAGCCTCTCCAGACCTGGATCCAAACCAATGTTTAAGGTCAGGACGGCCCCACCTTCTGATCTCCAGACAGGGCTCAGGTCGTCCCCCTTCCAGCTATGGAAAGTGCTTTTCTTTAATCACTCAGTGTTGCAAGTTGAGGCTGGAAGCTTCACACCTAAATATTCCTGAAACCGCTCTGCTTGCTGAAATAAAAGCAATGTCTCAACACAGAGCCATGGCTGTGCAGCCTGTAACAGTCTTTGCCTCAACACTGCTCCGCCAGTGCTACCTGCCCTCTTTCTCTCAGGTGCTCTAATTGATGGACGTGACGAAGGTCACTGAAGCTCTGACCTGAAAATGCGTATTCACTTGTGAATATTGCACAAATATTCAAAGGCCATTTTTTGATCTAATGAAATGCACTGTCTTCTTTCGAACTCAGCGTCTCTGTCCTCTCCAGGCCAAGTGCAACGATAAAAACCACTTTTATTATGAGTCTGAGCTTATTCCCTCTTTGAAGGGCTATATTGCAGGAGCCTATCTCAGCAGAAGGGCTATTTTGATAACCGCGAAGCATGATGCTACCTAGAAAGCAGACAGGCAGGTTCTCCACTGCTGGAAAGCGTCCTAGTTCCTGCCTTCAGCAGAGCTATGATTGCAATTTGTACCAGCAGAGCAGCAGGGGAGGCCTGAGTCAGGCTTAGATCTTGGGCTGGGATATTCCCCTCGCTAGCACAAAGGCTGGCGACTAAAACTAAGCAGCTTCCAGAGCCAGCCAGGCAGGCAGCAAGGTAGGGCCCCACCTGCCATGAAGTAAGAAAGGAAGTTGCACGCATGAAGTCACGCTATAAGAGAAGAAGATGAGGTCTAAACTTCAGGTGTTCTGTCCTTCAGTTGCCCAACGGTTATTAACAGAGGAAGTTACACCACAGCTAGAAACAGCTTCTTACATTTGCAGCCCAGGAATCCCAACTGGTGACAGGTACCAGCTCAGCCTGTTGCAACGATTGCATCTGGAGTGCGTGCTCTTGATAAGAGCTCTGGTAAAATGGTGGAGCCAGGACAAAGATAGTCCCAAGACAACCAAATATGATGAAATTCACCTCTCCGTGGGACGCGTCACCCCCGCTGCTGAAAATAATCCTACCATCAGAAATGAGGACTGTTTGACTCGCATCTTCATAGCTCCCTGAGACTCTGAGGATAATAAGCAGTGAGCTATTTTGGCTCAATAAACTTTTTTTTTTTTACATGGAATAATGTTTGGGAATAACCTGTATACACCATGAGCTCCCTTTATTTCACGTGTAGATTGAAACAGCTTTTCAAATGCTATTCTGGCACCTAAATGGGACCAGTGTCCAAATTCAATTTGGATGTGATAGATCTTGGATACTGTTTAAAAATCCCTTTACTTTTCACATTACATGCAGATAAACTCACTTCCCTCTGCTGTCACATTTAGATGGGTGGGAGCTGCATCTTCTGTACCATGGAAAATAACATGCATTCAAAATTATCTGTTCTGAAATGAAAGAAGAATGAACTCTATGAAGATCTTCAGGAGAAAAAAAATAAACCCATCCATCACGAGTTTATAGAATCACAAGAAAGTCACTTCAGAGAATTCATAGATGAAAAGCATGTGAGAGAAGTACAGATCAGCCCCTCCCCATCTTAAACTCCAAATACGTCCTAAAAACTGGGGGCATTAGCTGACATGAAATGACTCAGCTGGATGGGCTGAAGTGGAACCACGCTGGTTGACACCACACCAAGACCCCTGATAGCGATGGAGTCTGCAGCGAACGTATTAAGCTGCAAGTACGACCTTTATTCACACAGCAAGTTTTTTTGTTAAATCAGATTAGTCAGAAAGGAGATTAAAACGCATTCTGCACCAAAAGCCTCTCTTCACAATGCCTACGTGTAGAACAAGTCTGTGGAGGAAACGCACAACGGCAGTTGTGAAAGAATGAGCTCATTACCTAGGAGGACTCATTCCCAGAAGGCAGGGCTTTGAAACCATATAAAAGTTCTCAAATCTCCGTGCTCCACCATCCACTTGACTTCGTGCTTCTCCCTATTGACTGGTTGGGTAAGTGAGAGAATGCCGATACTTTTTTGTGATGCCTATAATTTTACTGCTTGGCTTAATTCAGGCAGACTCTTTAAAGAAGTGTTTTATTTGATACCTTTGAATATGCAAAAGGTTCCTGCAAAGAAGAGAAATTTGTGGGCATTGGGGTAGGAGATGCAGTCTTGAAATGACTCTGCAAGGCAAATTCAGATTGTGTGTAAATCTGAGGATAGTTAAGTACTAAATTAGCCCCTTTCTGAAGAAGAGATTAGATAAAATTATGTTGGTTTAAGTATAACTGATCCTGCCTTCAGGGAAACAGAAGTTCGAAATGGCCTCCTAAAGCTCCTTCCAAATATGTTTTCTGTCATTCTGCTTTTTATAACAAGAATATTTTATAAAACTTCGATTTCATTGAATAACTATTTTGTAAAAGATAGATTTGGGAGTACGGGGGGCTGTAGGGAGCAGAAGGGTGAAAGTATTCCTAGTATGCTGTCTCATTCTCGCTAACCATGTCAAGACCGATACCTTAATTTGGCTTAAGATCTTGTCAGGTCCTTATAAAGAAAATAGCAAGAGATAAGTGATATTGATCTGGAGGATCTAGGAGGATGCAGAAGAGAGGAAAGAATTTGCTACGAAGATGTGCTGAGAGGGGTAGGCAACGCGGAGAAGGGAGAACGAACTTGCACACTCTCGCCTGATCTGTGTCGATGCTGGTCCAGTGTTGAGGGGACTTAAAAATGCCCCTTCCAACCAACACTGCTCTGACTGTAACCTTTTCTTTGTGCCCTTAGATTTTCTTTAGAAAAACAGCACCACAGGCTTTACCAAGGACAGCCTGGTGCCTGCCTTCAGCAGCCTACAAAACAGCAGCAGTTTCATAAATTGTTAGGAAAAACTCATTTGGCCTGGTGCACACTCCTGGCCTTGGGAGAAGAAATCCCTCCTGATTATTCTGATTCATGCAAGCTGCAGGTATTATTAGTGGCCATGATAATCCATAAACATAGGGACGCATTACCACTGCTAATTCTTTCCATGACAGTTGGAAGGACTGTGCCACAGGTAACCTCAATCCTTTACATCGTCAGTGAAGTCAGAGCGAAACCAGAGCAAGAGGAGGAGTTGGCCTATTGTTACTGTAAGGACTTTTAATGCTACAGAAAGCTATCAGCTTACCGGTGAGGTCCACCTTGAGGCCTTAGCACTTCAGGTTTCTGGTTCCAAGTAAAATGTGAAAACCATTTTAAAATGGGCAAAATCAAACTAAGTATTTTGGGGTTTTCAATGTAAAATATCTTGTTGGGCCCAGATTAATATTTTTCTACTTTTAGATACACTGAACATTTTAAATGCCTATCTTCAGCATTCATTTTTTTATTATTACTATTATTTTGACTTCCTGAAAGTGCTATCAAACCAGCAGATCTGCTGCTTGCCAGCTCCTCTCATCAACTCCCAAGGACAGAAATGAAAGGGAGTTAACACGTTGGGAAGAGCTAAGCAACAGGAGGAAGAGCTCTGAAGTGTAAATCATCTCCAAGTTCAAAGGAGTGGCTCTACCTCAGTTGTGCCTGACAGGGCTGTCCCTCACTGCAGAACAGAAAGGAGGAACAAGATAAGACAGGGTCAGAGCAGGAGCTGAAAGGCAGGATGAAAAAGAAAGAGCAAATCATAATTTTTTCTGAGCCAACCTGCCTTGGGAAACCAAGGGCAAACTCAGAGAACTTTACTCTTGCAGTTGATTCAAGTTCCCTATAATTGCTTCACCCTTATCCCAGTGCAGTTCATTTAGCAGATACAATAACACTCTGATATTTCTTTCAGATAATCTTGTTTCCTGCAAAGATGTCTTTGAATCAAATGCAAATCAAGCAGGAGATCACCCTCCCACCTGGCCTGAGCAAAACGATTTCAAAGCAAAGCCAAGAGCCTGTGCCGTGCGCTGAGCCAGTCCCATGTCCACAGCAGCAACCTGAAGTCCAGGTCCCAACACCTTGCCCAGAACCAGTCCCAGTAGTAGTGGTACCCTGCCCAGAAAAAACAGTGCCATTGCCAACACCGGTGGTGGAACCAGGCAAGGGAGAAACACCAGCAGTCGTAATACCCCAGTGTCCACCCCAGGAGCAGCAGCAGCAGCAGCAATGCAAGCTACCACCAACTTTCCCTCCCGTATCATGCCCTGAGCCTGTTCCATGCCCCGAAGAGAAATCAGCATGCAAAGAGCTGCCTGTACCAGCCCCCGTTTCCTGCTCTGAACCAACTCCCTGCATGCTAGAGAAGCAGGAGTGCAAGGAGATCCCTGTGCCAGTTCCCGTTACCTGCTCGGAGGCTGCAGCGTGTCCCCAAGAGAAGCAGCAATGCAAGGAGATCCCCGTGCCAATCCCTGTTCCATGCCCTGAACCCGCACCATGCCCCCAGGAGAAGCAGGAGTGCAAGGAGATCCCTGTGCCCACCCCATGCCCTCCAGAGAAGCAGGAGTGCAAGGAGATCCCTGTGCCAATCCCTGTTCCGTGCCCTGAACCCACACCATGTGCCCAAGAAAAGCAGCAGTGCAAGGAGACCCCCGTGCCAATCCCTGTTCCGTGCCCTGAACCTGCACCGTGTCCCCAAGAGAAGCAGCAATGCAAGGAGATCCCTGTGCCAATCCCTGTTCCGTGCCCTGAACCTGCACCGTGTCCCCAAGAGAAGCAGCAATGCAAGGAGATCCCCGTGCCAATCCCTGTTCCATGCCCTGAACCCGCACCATGCCCCCAGGAGAAGCAGGAGTGCAAGGAGATCCCTGTGCCAATCCCTGTTCCATGCCCTGAGCCAGGGAAGTGCTCCCTTCCAGAGAAGTGTCCTCCCATCGAGCAGCAGCAGGTGAAGCAGCCTGTCCAGTGGCCACCCTGCAAGTAATTTGCAGCTGACCAGGGAAGCCCTGAAGAGAGAAGAAGATTGCAAACCCAGACCTCCTCTCCCCACGTCTCACGACCGGAGGTCATTTTCCGACACCCTTTTTCCTCACTGCAGAATTCCTGTTAAGAAGCACAGCTTCCAACTCCCTCCCCAGCTAACGCTAGCGTCATCCTCTACTAACAGCCATACGCTGACACGTCGGGACTGCCGATAGATAACAAGGCTTCAAGCGGTGTTGCAGGCATGTGCGTTCAGCTTCCCAGCAGCCTGAATTTCTGCCCTCTCCCAACCACCCCGCTGGCTTTTTAAAGGCCCAGAGTGAGACCAAAGAGCACGATGGCATGCACGAGTTCATTAAGCTCAATATTCAAACCTAACCCAAATGCAGTCAGGGACCCAGAGCTCATCATCCAGACCCGCATGCTGCCTCCTGGTTTTCATGCCTTCCCCCCTCCCCCCAGCTCCCTCTATACCAATGCATCTCCCACCTTGCATTTAGGGGTTTTGCCTAGTCATGATAGGATTTGAGGTTTGTGCAAAACCTGCTGCTAAGGGATTCTGGTCAAAGGCAACAAGACTTTCTGAATTATGAGTCCATAGTGCTGAATATTTTATGCAATTAAAAAAAATAATCCATTGGGCTAGAGGAAATGGAAAGATTTTTTACAAAAGGGCCATCATCTCTTAATTATCTGCCTAGCAGAATTGGTGGCAATCAGCGGTTTCCTCAGAGAACTCACCCTGGATATTCTAGGATGTGTAAAAGAACAGCTCGAGATGAGATTATTTATAGAAAATATATAGATAGTTAAATCCAATCCAGACATGTTTTGAAATGGATTAACCTCAGGCGTGGCTTCCATCTGTTAGACAGGATAAAGGAGGAAGCGTACCAGGTGCCGTCTCAGTTACACCCTGGAACATGTTTCACCACACGGTGTTGTTGCGTATGGATTTGGCACTTATCTCTAATTATTTGAGGCTGATGTATCCAGGATTTATTTCACTGTGAAAATCAACAATAAAAATTACTTTGAATACCGAGTTGTGGAGATTTTTGATAGCTTCTGCTTAAAAAAGATGAAAAGGGGCCTCGGCTTGCAACAGCCAGGCATTGTTTAGGCTCAAAGATGGGTGAATCAGGACTCATAAACTTGGGTGCTCACAGGGGACCCCGGGTCTGCTGCTCCTCTCCAGGTGCCCGGGTTAGAGAACCGGCAAGAGCCCCCGCATCGTGTCAGTCCCTGGGCTGGCCGATAGCACTGACTCCTTGCACTGAAATGCCTCTCAGCAAGACACACGGTCCCAGGGCACGGCACAGGGCATCGGCTCACACCAAGCTGTCCCCACAGTCAACCTGCCCAATTTAAACACAGCCACAGCCACTCTGTGACCTTCAGCAGACAGAAGGCACGGGCACGTCAACGAGGCAGGTTGCAAGCACAAGCAAATGGGGTTTTTTTTTCCCACACTTCAGATGAGCCAGGAGCGATGTAATCTCAGGAGCTTGGCCCTGTACCTGTTAGATGGGTGTTAGATACATCCAACCTCATCGTCTGATCACAGAATCGCACCGAGAGACGCAGGTTCTGGTTTGCAGAGCAAGCTGCTATCTGCCTGCCAGACACCAATATCCTAACACTCAACAGCTTCTGTAGTTATAATTTTCTTCCTCTACCCTGCCATACAGCCACCTGGAAATCAATTAGCCCAGCCAGTATATCCTGCTGAGGAACCAAAGCATTCCCAATTTTCTTTCTTTAAAACAGAAACTATTCATTCTGAGCAATCGAGAGCTTCCTTTCAGAGTTAAAAACTTCCACAGACTATTTTCCTCTCAGCAGTTACCATTTAGTTGTTGAGGCTCTAAAACCACGATGAATTCTTCCAGTAGACCCACCAGAATATCCTTCAGAACATTACAGAATCACAAGGGTTGGAAGGGACCTCGGGAGATCATCTAGTCCAACTGAGGCTCCCCAGTTTGCTCCAGTTCAGGATGAAAACTATTTGCAAGATTGCCCTGAGATGGGTAGCACACAATCCTGAGCGGTTTTGTCACCCAAGCAGCATCTCTTCCCCAAAGAACCCTGAATTTCAATGGTCTTTCTAGAAATTGTGATCATTTGCTGTCCCGGCTGCTCTAGGCATGCCACATTTCTGGCCTGCTTGGTCATCACAGCTGTAGGTTTCTGGATCTATCTGAAATAAGAAGTGTGGACAATAATTCCTTGGGAAACATGGAAGGAAGCCATGCATGGGCCACTGTGTATGTGTGCCTCGTATACAAGTGTGTGTTTAAACTTAAGTCTTTGCCTAATAAAAGAAAGCAAAAGAGAAAGAATTACACTAATAAAGTGAAAAAAAAAAATCAGGAAGCAAATAGTAAGGTTACTGATAATTTTATTGTAGCATATCCCAAATTAAAGATCAGAAGAAAATGGCCCCACTTTTTTATATATAGAGAGAGAGTAGAGGATGAATAAATCCAAGTTAATGAATTGCATCTCTTCGTCAAGTAATTTCTGCTTGCAAACAAAGGAGGTGTGCTGCAAATCTGTAGCTCTCCTGGCAGAGCCAGCAGACAGAAGGAGAGTTTGGAAATAAGGATTTGCACCTTCCGTGGCTGTCGCTGTTAGCGCTACTTCTGCTTTGGGCATTGCTGCTGCTGCTGCTGCTGCGGGATGGTCTTCACAGGACACTTGGCTTGGCCTTTGGGGGGCTGGCATTGCTCCACACACTTTGGAGGACACTTTTCCTGGCATTTGGAAGGTATTTGCTGCTGCTGTTTCTGCTGGTGGGAAGACATCCTTGCTAAGCCTGGAAGAAAACCAAGGTGCCGTTTCAGTTATTTTAAGCCCTACACACTTCTCGTTTCTGGATATCAGGGTTTCAGTCAGTTCTTCAGCTTTGACATCAAACCAACACTGAAGAGCCTTTAAAAGTTAATACTACCAACAAAAACACACACACACCCTTGGAAGTCCCTGAGGATGCTGCTGTTCAGGCCAAATTTGCGTTGGTGACTCCAGTTTGCTGTAGCTGCCCCCTATCGTGCTTCTGGGCTCCCGTCACAGTTAACCTCTACGGGGATCAGCCATTTTACCAAGGCCTCGGGGCATAACTGTACGTAAGCATAAATGAATACAAGAGGCAAGCACCATCCTAACAAAGCTGTGATCTGGACAGGTAAATGGCTACAGAGGCAGAGGGAAGAAAAACGACGAGAGGGGTTTTCCTTCTCTCCCTCTGCTCACTGGTTCCAGAACACCTCAACAAGCAATAAGCAGCAATACAGCTTCTAATGAAAACACGCTTAGTTCGAGGGGAACCTCAGAGCAATATCCAAAACTTGTCCAAGAAGAGCAGAAAGGTAGTGACATTTCAGTATCGCAAAGGGGTTTGAAAGAGGAAAAACATCACTTGATAACAACCCCTTCCGGCAACAGCCACGTCTCTGCTTAGTTTGTTAACAGCCTCGGAGCAGGAGCCACATCTCCGGCCTTTAAATGCAAGTGAACTGTCCTCCTGCTTGGCAATGATATGATGTTATACAAAGAAGGGAAACCCAGAGCCCTGGAGATGCAGGAGCCTGCAGTGATCAGCCCACGACTGCTCGACAGACGCAGAAGGACCTGCCAGTGGATGCCCTCCTTCAGCAACTACTCCTCAATACCCCATGGTTATCCACAAGGATTCTTATCAGTTGGGGAAAAAATTATCAGGGTTGACAAGAGTTTGTTGATCTAAAGAGTCAGCAAGCCACTGTCTGGAGCCTCAGAAAGTCTCAAAACAACATACTATGGCTTTCACCTGTACAGAGGTGGAATTGTCAGGGAGATGAGCTAAAACTCTAACTAGAGAAACAAAATAAAGAAAAAAAAAAAAAAAATCACCCTGTCTCCCCAGAACAGAGCACCAGAACCCCACACCTGTATAGCTAAACATGTATAGAAGGACTCACCTGGTGTCTCCTGCTGTTAGGAGAAGAGGAGGAGAAGAAGGCACCCAGGTGAAGGAGCCTCCTGAATGGGAGGCTTTTATACGCTTTCAGAAGTGAGCCCTGGGAGCTGATGACAACAGATTAACTTGATGACCAGAATCTTTCACAACCAGAACCTGCTCCACTGACACCTGGACTTCAGTCAAGGTCTGTGAGAGATGCCTCCGTGTTCAGGTGCGGGGGATTTGTTGTTTTTAATGTAAGGCACACCCAATCTGGTAATAACTGGCTAATTTATTAATAATTCATCTTGTCCCAGCCCTGGGCAAAGATCCCACAACTGAACTCCGATTTGAGAGGCAGCTCAGCTCCGCTCTGGAGTTAGCAGAACGTGGCTCTATAAAGTTTAGGTCTTTCCTGGTAGTTTTGGCTGTGATCACCGGGCCAGGTCTCCAGCTGGCGTAAATCCGAGCGGGGTGGAGGAGGTCTGTGTGCTGCGTCGCAGCTCCCGGCAAGGGCAGCAGGTCTGTGTTTGGCAGCCTGTGCTTTGCGGTTTTGCTTCTGCCTGCCTCTATTTTCCTTCCCCAAAAGCAGAATGAAACGTTTTTTATTGCCAAGAAATTAGAAAGCTCTCCCCTTATTTTTTCTTTCATGTAGCTATTCACCGAAGCAACTGAAACTTCTTTTTTACAAACACTGGGCTTGGCTTTTGCTGAAGGTCTGGTAGAATTTCTTTTTTTTCTATGTTTCAGAAAAATGTCGTTCCCGTAGAAATTTTTCCAGGGAAGGAATGGAGAAACTGTTTGAACTGAAACGGGTTTTTCAGCTCTAATGGAAAAGGTCGCTCAAATCTCCCTTGGGTATTCCTCAACACTATGCCCTGTGGGGTCGTGATCAGCCCTATGAATTACAGTCCTGTCTCCGTTACAGATGTGTGATACACAGACGGATGACGGACATGGCTCCCACTGGGTGTAAGTGAGCAGAAGGTGCTAACGGGAAAAACCATCATCCCATATCTAAACATCCCTCACACATGCCTGATTGACCGGGGGTCTTAACAACCCTGAGGCTGACATGGACCAGAGGCCACTAATTTATTGTAAATATCCAGGAGAACCTTAGCGATGCTCAGAGCTCACCACAGGTGCTTAGGAGAGCCATGTGTCAGGGCTTTTGCAAAACATTTTCCTACAGGCACAGGAAGAAGCGTGATGAGCCCAAACCAACAGGTCCCTTCTGCCACTTCCGCTGGGGTTTCCAGAGCTCCATGCTCCCATCCATGATTCCTGCGCCTGGTGCAATGCTCGCAGCAGAGAGGGAGAGAAGAAAAACTTTTGAATGACTAACGCAGCTGATAGAGCTGGGTGAAGATGCTTGGAAATCAGTCATAGGTGACTAACCTATGGGATGGATGTCATTAGCAGCTGCATATGACCTCCTGACTAAGCCTTTTTCCATGCCTGAAGGTGGGCGCTGATGCTACCCACGTGGCAGCAGCAAGCAGTTATTAGCGAGGCCGAGTTCATCGCTGACTCCCAAAAGGTTTGCATTCAACAGTAGGAATTAGAGGCGCGCGTTCCTAGTCTCCCCCTCCATTTTCGTGCTCTTGGATATCTGGTCCACCTACCCCTGCTTTGTCTACCTGAACTGAAAGGCGTGTTCAGGTATCGAATTTGTTTGCCTGCCTGAGACGTGTTTTGCCTATCGTTATTCCTGTTGGATGGTGTCACCTTTTGGTGTTGACAGAAATAATACAAAAAAGAATCTACATTCAAACCCTCTACACCCGCACACAAGGTTTCATTAAAAGCTGATTTGGTAATAGTGTTTACACACACCTAAATATAACTCTTTTCTTTTCCAGATTAGACGTTCTCCACCCTTGCCATAATGATATGGTAGGTGGATAGCAATTCTCTACATCCCAGACATGGAAATTTGTGTGGCCATCATGGAGGCAGAGGTAAGCAAGTCACATGCAGAGCATGGGAGACAATGGGAGCATTATCTCCGAAACTCAGCATTTACATGGGTATAACGCCCCTCCAGACAATCGGCCTCCTTCCACTTCAAAATTATGACTCCAAATAAAGAAGATCAATTTAGAAGTGAATTAAAATATTATTATACCTGCCGGATGTTAATGAACCCCAAAAGCCAAGCACTCGATCAGTCAGGGATGTGACTTCTGCTCGTGGCAGACGGGGAACGGGTAGATAACAAGAGCGAGACCTGCCCAAAGCCACACAAAGGATCTGCAGCAAACCTGGGAACAAAACTGCAATCATGCAGGGCTCAGACCTGTTCCCGAACCACAAAAAGATTCAACTCCTGAAGCCAAGTCCCCTGCTTTCTATATTTAGTCAGTGAGGATCGTGGGAAGAGTTCATCAAAACCAGCATTTTCCTCGCCATCAGAATGTTTTTAAGAAATAATTAAAATCCCAGCAAGAACATTTCAATTCCTTCATTCTTGGATTTGGGGCTTTCTTCCACTTAAATTTACCTTTTGACAGTTTCTAAGATTTGCCTCCAAAATCCAGAGATATAAAGATGAAAATTAAATTTCTGTCATTATTTTCAAGCAGGACAAAGCTGATTTTTTTTTTATATCTTCCTGAAAAGTATTGACCGGGTGATGTTTTGTTTATGGCATTAGAAGACATTGCTCCACGTTGTAATGCATGTCCACTCCGGTTACAGCACTGCATCACAGGCACAAATCCTCCACAACCATAACAGCTTCCAGAAGGAAAACTAAAGGAAGCTTTTCTTGGGTCCGGAGACATGGAAAGGGGGAGATGAAAGAAAGAGAGAAGACACATTATGCCATTGATGGTCATTTTTTATTGCTGCATATAGACATTAAAAGACATATGTTAAAAGACGAGATGAGAATTAAAGAGTAGAAGAGGAGACATCTTCCAACATCAACTGCTTACAGCACAGCCATTGCTAAATAACTTCCCAAGATGCTCAGCAGTACAATATTGGCCAACTGCGGTGCTGAAAAAGGTGCTGAGATAGCAGTTGCAGAAGAATCATAAGAAGCAAAGATACAGATTCAGAAAAATATTTTCCAAGACAAAGGAGGGTCGGGAGAGGTCTCGGTACGTCGCAGGTGGGTCTGTAACCTGATATTCATTCCGTGGATGCTCATGAGCCTATGGATATTGCAATGCATTGAAGCATCGGCAAGGCTCATGCGTTACGGCGCTCAGCACCGGCGAGAGCAGCCCGTGTTGCAGGGCTCCAGGCACACCGTCTCGCAGGTATCAACGCACTTGGTGGCGCACACCTCCACGCATGGGGGCTCCACGCACTTGGTGCGGCACTGGGCGATGCAGGGCTCCGCGCACTGGGTGGTGCACTGGGTTTGGCACTGAGTGGCACATGGCTTTACGCAGACATCAACGCACGTAGGGGGGCAGGCCTCCACGCACTGGGTGGTGCACTGGGTGGCACAAGGCTCCACGCACTGGGTGGTGCAGGAGGTGGTGCACTGGGTGGCACAAGGCTCCACGCACTGGGTGGTGCACTGGGTGGCACAGGGAGTCGCGCAGACCTCCACGCACGGTGTGGAGCATGGCTTCACGCAGACGTTGCCGCAGGGCTCCACGCACACCGTCTTGCAGGGCTCCACGCACTTGGTGCATTTCTGCACGCAAACGGGAGGGGGCACGCAGGGCTGCTTGCACTGCTCGTAGCAAGACATCCTTCTGAGCTGGTGGTGAAGCTGAAGACAAAGATAAAAAGAGAGACACAAAATCAGGACACTCGTTCTTCCTTCTTAAGCCACAATTCGCAACCCAAGCTCTTGGAATATATATAGCAGTTAGCCGTTGGGCTGAGGAACAGGCTGTTAGAAAAAATTGCATGTGGGAGTGATTTCTGGATTCAGTCACAGGCAACTACCACTGCCAGATTATTCCTTCCTTTCTTGGGAACCTGCCAGCAGCACTGTTAGGAAGACTAGAGCCATAAGCCCAGAATTTTATAGAACTGCCCACAGTTAAGCTTTGTAGAAGCCATAACATGAAAATAGTTCATGTACCTATTTTCTTAATTAAATCAGGGCCCATCTTTTGCTTATCGCTTCAGTTCCTACTGTGCACCACAGAGCACATCCCCCTTTATGCAGATGTTGAGCTGCTAATGCCCGAGGATAAAGCCCAAAGACCACAATTCAGGTGCTATCCCAAGTCCTCCAGCTGTATATCACAGTACGTCACCGGAGTTGTATCAAAATTAATGGGCTCATCCTTTCATAAGAGAAGGGTTGGCCCAGAGGTTGCAGCTCCCATTTCCAATTCATTTCCTCATCTTGACTTCTCCCAGATGTCTCCTGCAGCTTTGCCCTCGGCTATTCTGCAGCTTCCTTCTTCCAGGTAATGCTTCTTCCCACCCATCTCTTTTGAAGTCCCAAGACTTACTCTGCAGCATCCACAAATATAGTTAATTTCCAGACTTAATGAGGTATGAAAAAATTAATGAAGATAGATAGAATACGAATGAGGATTAGAGACAGTCACAGTTTCCAAAGAGGTGACAGGACAGGACTTAAGGAAGAGCAAACTCAAAAGAAGGGTCCAGCATCCTCTCCCCCATTCCAGGACAAATCCTGGAGCAGAAACACCAGAAGCAAAGCTCTCCTGTAATCAGTAATACATTCTCTTGACAAGAACAACCAAGTAACACAGCCAGCACATTATTCCCTGATAAATCCAAGAAAGACTTACCAGTTCACCAATGCAGTGAGGGAGAAGTCAAATGAACTGGTGTGAGCATCAAAATGCAAACCTTTTTATACGGCTTGCATGGCGTCATCTCCGGAAACACGGGAGCCCAGGGGTATGGACACCTGACCACTAACTACCTGCACAGGCTCCACCTATACATACTTTACATATTTCTTTACATCCTAGTTTTTTCCAGGGAAAACATGTGATCCTGAGCAAATTCTGTTTCCACCCGATACCTGAGTCATGTGGTTCCCAATGGGAATGACACAGTAATTAAAAAAAAATCAAGTACCGGATTAATTGCTGTTCAAGAAAGATTTAATACTCTTGGATATGTTCATCTCCTTATTTCCATAAATGTCGGAATGATACCTTGGGTTTTTTTCAGAGCAGAAAGAACGGGTGGCTATTATTAGGGAAGATGAACAATTGTTATGATTTACTATGAGAAATACCATGCCCTAATTCTCATGGTAAGAAACAGCTAATCCTACAGTGGGCCCGTGGTGCTTCCACTAACTGTTGAGATATCTGTTTCTGGAGTACCTTTTTAATCATTAAATACACCCAACCTGTTCCTCTCCACCTTCTGCTAACAACATTGATGCTTGGCAATGCCAGTGGGGACCCAACTCCAGTTACCTTGAGGACCTCTTCAAGCCACTCAGGGCAAAGCGAAGGGGCACTCGTTTTAAAGGCATTTTTTCACTGCCACAGCAGCGTAAAGGGCTTCAGTTGAAGTGGAATTTAGGCCCAGGGCTCCATATTAGCATATTGAGGCCTTTTGCTGATCGTGGTATCTCCCTCAGCTCCGCAGCACAGAAAATCTTTTTCTGAGATAGCCCAATCACAGAGGTGGAATGAGATCATCAGACTACATTTAGGTGACCAAATTCCCCAATGAAATCACACAAATACTAAATGGGGGGGGAAAAAACCCCAAACAATCCATTTGGTGTGAGCAGCGCATCCTGTTTACACTTCCAGGAAGGTCCCGCTGGAGAATTGCAGACATTGGCATGGGTTCCTTTCTAGAATTTACATGAGGGAACTGGAATTCCTGACCTAAGCCCATGTGAGCTGATGGCAGTGCTCTTGATATCCTCCCAGCAACACTTTGTGGTTCATTTGGTCTTTCCACTCCTCTTCCTTTGCTGGACAGGCTCGGCCCATCACGTGCAGTTTCTCCCTCTGAGCCTGGTGGCTTTTCTAGATGGTTGGAAGAAATAAGGACTTGTACAGTGGTGTTTGCTTGCACTAGATATCTGCTTCAGGGTGAGGAGAAACACCCACCACTGTATCAAATAGACCCTGCAGACTGGAAAACGAACAGAGAGCAACCAGTTCAGGTTTAGGTGTCTAATATTTTGACAGTTTAATCTCTCCCCGACATCTCCTCCTAGATGTAACCCTGACGGGTGATGCTGAGCCAGCAATTGTCCTCCAGGACTTTTAGATTCCCTCACAGCAGCAGCCTCCAACATTCATCTTGCTGAGGAGCTTCTCATAGCCCAGCTTGGACAGTTCTTATTCGTTCCAACAGCTCCAGGCTCACCTCTAAAACCAGTGTTGAGGACCAGTCCTACGTCTCCCTTTCTACAGCAGGTTATTGTACACCCTATTGTTATATTTTATTAGCAAGAAATTGCAACAACTTCTAAGAGAAACAGACGTTTTAGGAGCTAGAAATTGATCTGCACTTGTAATATGTGGGAACATTAGAGGGCTAGATTATTATTCTTAATTGAGACTTATTTGTGGACCTCTATTATAATCATGAGCAATTTGGTCATTTGGCTTGTCACGTTAACCTCAGTGAGTCAGGACCCCACAGCAACATCCTTTCGTGGCCATCCTCCTTTGGCCAAAGAGCTGAAAAGGAGAGGGGTTTTTTTCCAAATCTGACACTTCTGAGTTCTATTTAATTAAACAGCATGCGCTGAGGTCTCTTGCAGAACCAGGGGCTGGTTTGATGGGTCGCGCTTTTATGAAAGGAGCATGACAGAGCGCAAATCTGAACCAGAAGAGGTTCCTGGAGCCCAGACAGACTCCCCTACCCAAGGGTTTGTCTTCTGCTGCAGAAAAGGAGTGCTCTGAGCACTGCATTCTGAAAAATTCAGTGAAAAAGAACATGGCCAACGCGTTGGGTTCCCACTAATCCGAGAGAGACTCCGTATTTCACCGCCGAGAGCTACCAAAGGTGGAGGCACATCAAGAGTGGCGCCATTTTCCTACAGCTAAAAAAATTTGCCTGCAGACATGAAACACTGCCTAGTCACAGAGATGTGATTGTTACACAAATACAAAACATTGGGATGTGCAGGTGTCATGATTTTTGATGGAAACATCTCAAACTGGCTTTTTTTTTCCCTGTGCAACTGTTTGGATAGGCACCAGTGTGGGCTGTTCAACTGGATTTCTGCTAGGGAAAAAAACCCAGTTCAGAAACTGCTGAACTGCTTTAAAAATACGGCATGTCTGGATTTCTTTGCATCCCTGGCTTTACCTAAAAGCCTCCTAAGCAGGCTCTCTTCCTCTGTGGCATCCAGCACTGGTCGGCATCAGGGATTTCATTTTGTGCAGCATCCCATAGAGTAGAATCATAGAATCACAGAATGGTTTGGGTGGGAAGGGACCCCCAGAGGTCACCCAGCCCAACCCCCCCGCAGGAGCAGGGACACCTTGAACCACATCAGGTTGCTCACAGCCCCGGCCAACCTGGCCTGGAATGGTCCCAGGGATGGGGCCTCCACCCCCTCTCGGGGCAACCCCTGCCAGGGTTTCACCACCCTCACTGGAAAGAATTTCTTCCTTAGATCCAGTCTAAGCCTGCCCTGGTTTAGTTTAAAGCCGTCCCCCCTTGTCCTGTCCCACCTGGCCCTGCTGAAAAGATTGTCCCCATCTTTCCTGTGGGCCCCCTTTAAGCACTGGATTTCTGCAATCAGGTCTCCCCGGGGATAAGTACCTTACCCACATTTTGGTGAGCAAAACATTTGCATAGAAATCAAGGATCCTCCCCAAACTCTCAGCACGGCAAGGCCTCCCCCGCCCAGTCCCCTGCACTTTGTTGCAATTAAATCTAAACATCTGAGGCTTCATTACATCCCACTTTCCCCTCCCATCATTCCCTACCACAACTACCCGGGGAAGGTGTGAGGGTGTGATCCAGCACCGAGAGCAGCTTCCCGGTGGGCTGCTGGTCTGCGGCTCGGGCTTCGGCAAAGGTCGCATAGCTGAGATGCCAGGAGGCTGAGTACTGAATGCAATTAAGCCTCGCCTGAAAACAAGTGGCTCCTCTAGTCCATGCCCTAGGGACTATTTGATCAAGCAATTAGATCATTACTTCTGGGACTGCGAGAAACCCCAATCCTGCGCTATCCACCTCTTTTCCTGTTTACTCAGGAAGGTGAGTGCTCTGTGAAGAATGATAAGTGAGCATCCCAATGCAATTAAATCCGAAAAAGAGGAACTAGCTGTGGTTATGGAAAAAAAAAGGCCTCATCTGTTTTATCTTTTACCTTCTGACTATTGCAGATATTTGCTGTGATTTCCCAATATCTTAGAATGGGAATATAGCTTTACTCAGGTGGGGGTTTTGTTCACATTACTGAATAAAATTCTGTCCTGATCTCACAGTATCACAGAATCAGAGAATGGCAAGGGTTGGAAGGGACCTCGGGAGCTCACCCAGTCCCACCCCCCTGCCCAAGCAGGGTCACCCAGAGCAGGGGGCACAGGACAGCGGCCAGGCGGGGGTTGAAGATCTCCAGAGAAGGAGACTCCACAGCCCCCTGGGCAGCCTGGGCCAGGGCTCAGGCACCCTCCAAGTCAACAAGTTCTTCCTCCCGTTCAACTGGAACCTCTTCTGCTTCAGGTTGTGCCCATGGCCCCTTGGCCTGGCGCTGGGCACCACTGGGAAGAGTCTGGCTCCATCCTCGTGACCCCCACCCTTGAGATATTTGTAGGTGGTGAT